AACTAACCGTAGAAACAGGTCTTCCTTTGAGAACAGGGATATAGCAGAGTCATGGGCATGGGTTTTAGAGGCAGACAGCTTCTGTTCAAGTTCTGTCATCCACATTTCCTAGCTAGCTGTGCAAACTTGAACAACTTGCTTAACTTGCTGCATCCCTGCTCCCTCCTCTCTAAAACTGAATGCTGAAAGTCTACTTATCTGTCTCTTAGGGCTCCTATGTACTTAGAGTGGTATGTTTAGGAACATGCCTAGTCTAGTGTGCCTACTTGATATATATCAATGGCCATCTTCTTCATTTCTCCTGTTGCTGTTTGTTTAATACCTAATATAAGAACTCCGCTGATAGAAAGTTGAGGGCAGGAAATGAAACAGATCATATAAAGAGGAATGGTGGAAGCCAAGGGATGGGCATATCCATTACACTAGCCTCTCATCTCTGTGAATATTCATTTCCTATGATAAAATAGGAAGGCAGAAAAGGCTGAACTCTGAAGTGTGCCAGTGTGGATCAAATGCAGTGTTGGGAGAGCCCATACATGCTAGGTGGGAGGCCAAATGGCTGCAATCTGCTTAGACAACAGTTTGACAGGAAGTATCAAGAACCCCCGGATGTTCGTTCCACTTACTATTTTATTGCTGCATGAAAAACTTTACTCGGAATCTTGGCTTAAAACATGCAATTTATATGCGTACAGACTCTGTGGACGGGAATTGGACAGGGCATATGAGGGATGCTTTTCACAACCTGCAGCACCTAGGCTGCTGGCCTTCAGAAGGAAGGTGTATTCACTCACAGGTATGGGGTCTAGGCTGATCTGATGCAAAATTTAGTTATGTGCCCTAGAGTACCTCAAAGGATCTCCATGCATCCTGAATTTTCTAAAGTATAGTGGCTCTAGGCTAATAATATTGTTTATTGGCAGCTCAGAGTTCCAAGGTGATGGTCTCAGACACTGAAGTTCAGCGATTTATCTACTTTATTGGTTGAAGTTACCTTACATCAGCCCAAACTCAAAGGGAGGGAAACTTAGATCTCAGACTTTCATAAGATGAATGGTCTAGAACTTGGGGGGCTAGTTTCATAAATCCTGGAAATATTTGTGACCTTTGACCCAATCTTTACATGTCTAAGCATTTATTTTAATGAAACCATTCAAAATGTGGATTATAGATGGGGCTGTAGGTCAGTAGTAGAGTGCTTGCCTGTTGTATATGGGACCCTGAGTTCAAGCCTGAGCACATACATAAGCACAGGAAATGGACAAAGGTTTATGTACATAAACAACGGTTTATGTATATATTACAGGATAATTTGTAATAATAAAACATTAGAAATAAAGTTAATGATTATCAATAGCAAAGTGAATAAATACTAGAAAACCACAAGGATGGTATAAATCCATTAAGATAATATTGTAAACTCTTTTTCATATGTAGGAAAATGTTCACATTTTAAAATAATAAATGTACGCACCATGATCTAAAATATATTTAAAAATCTAAATAATTAAGAACTGTATAAAAAGATAAGGAGAAATTATCAAATATCGACAAGGACCATCTCCAGGTGGTGAGATTATAGATAATTTTTTCATGATAGTTTTCTGTCTTTCTACACATTTCTACAACTTGTAAAATATTTTTGAAGATTTATTTTAGCTTTTTTATGTGTACATGGAGGGCAGAAGAAGGTGTTGGATCCTTTGGAGTTGGATTTACAGGTGCTTATGAGCTATGTGACATGGGTACTTGGAATCAAACTCAGTTCTTTTGAAAGAGCAGCAAGTCTCTGTCTCTGTCTGTCTGTCTGTCTGTCTGTCTCTCTCTCTCTCTCTCTCTCTCTCTCTCTCTCTCTCACACACACACACACACACACACACACGAAAACCATTACTAAAACTCCAATATGTTTGTTACACTAAAATAGTGGCTTTCTACAGAAAAATAAACAAAAACCCAAAACCAAAACTCTTGATGACTTAATTGAAACTTGGGTTTACATTTATCTTAATCCATTTATCGTGCTGTAGAAAAATATAATGAAACTACGTCGTTCTCTGTGAGTGTGTTTGCGTGCACACGTGGGTGCACACCCCAATGCTCATGCGTGTGGAAACCGGAGGAAGATATCAGGTGTCTTTCTGTATCATGAACATGAAGCTCCCCATTCACCTAGGCTGACTGGGCAGTAAGTTCCTGTGTCTGCCCCCAGTGCTGGGTTTACAGGCATGAGCAGCCATGACCAGCTCCTGTGTCTGTCCCCAGTGCTGGACTTACAGGTATGTGACACCATGACCAGCTTTTTTTGTAGGTGTTGGGAATTCAGTCTCAGGTCTTCATGCTTACACAGCAAATGCTCTTACCCCATGAGCCATTTCCCTAGCCCCTAAAACTGGATAGCTTATAAACAACAGAATTTACTCATCTTTATTCTGTACCAAGAAGTCTCAAATCAAGCTGGTAGATTTGGTGTTTGGTGCCAGATCACTTTCAGGTTCACAGAGTACACCTTCCAAGACAAGAAGGATCAGAGGTGCTTTTCTTGTATTAAATAAATAAATAAATAAATAAATAAATAAATAAATAAATAAAGGCCGGGCCGTGGTGGTGCATGCCTTTAAACCCAGCACTTGGGAGGCAAAGGCAGGAGGATCTCTGTGAGTTTGAGACTAGCCTGGACTACAAGAGCTAGTTCCAGGACAGCCCCCAAAGCCAAAGAGAAACCCTGTCTCAAAAAACAAAACAAAACAAACAAAAAACAAAAGATTTGCTAGTCTGTGGTGGTGTACTCCCTTAATCCCAGCATTTGGGAGGCAGAGGCAGTGATTTTCTATGAGTTTGAGGCCAGCCTGGTTTACAGAGCAAATTCCAGGACAGCCAGAGCTGTTATACAGAGAAACCCTGTCTCAAGAGAACAAAAATGATTTATTTTGTTTTTAAGTTATATGTCTGGGGTTTGTGCAAGTGACTGCAGTACCCGTGGAGACCAGAGGCATCTGATTCCCCTGGAGCTGGAGCTACAGGTGGTTGTGGGCCACCAGATGTGGAGGCTAGGAACCAAAGGCGGGGCTTCTGTAAGAGCAGCATGGACTCTTAACCACTGAGCCATCTCTGCAGAGCCTATTGGAGTTGTGTAAGGTCACTCGTCCCCTTCACAAGAGCTCCATCCTCGGGGCCTAATCACCTCTAAAGGCCTTTCCTCCTGGAACCATGACAGTGGTAGGCAGAATTTCAACAGATGAGTTTGGAGGGATAGGAGTATTCAGACCACAGCAATATAATCAAACATAAATACCCTGTATTGTAAAGAGGGCTGGCAACTTTCCAATGCAGTTTTTCCCTTACTCGCAAAGTCCGGTTGGTGCCCGTTTGAGGTCCAGAAGACCTTCTCTTGACTCAGGTCATCGGGGTTGGGAACGAAAGTGTAAATGCTTGTCGTATTCCAGTTTTTTCCCCTTTACCTGTTCATCAAACATTAAAAAGGAAGTAGACATTGAACTCCATTCTTCACCTCCTAACACTGTACTTTTCTTGCCTGTAACATTACCCTTAAGTCTTCATGGCAGTTTTCTAGGATACTTCCACAACACAGTCTCAGTCCCAACAGGTCTTTACTCTGGGCATCATAGAGGCTCTGCGGCGTCCACTGCTTCCCGGCTCCCCTTTCTGGGGTTGCAAGCTGTCACCCTTGCGGAGCACCGTTCTGTCCTGCTTCCCTCACATCAGGTACACATTTCCCAGTGAGCTCTCGTTGGTTGCTTCTAAATGAGTATTTGCGTCCATTCTCAGCAGAGGTCATTCTGGGAACCTGTCTGACCCAAATCCGCAGTTTCCAACAATACTCAGCAGGCTACCTTTTCCACCTCAGCCCCCTACTGAGACAGATGATGCTAGCCAGCCCTCCCTTCAGCATCCTCCTCTGTGAGTTCAACCAAGCTCAGAGCAAAAACGGAAAAAAAAATTCCGTTTGTTCTGAGCACACAGAAGCTTTTTCTTGTCGCTATTTCCTAAATCATAGAGTACAACTCAAAGATTCACCGGGATCTGAATATTTGCGTCAAACTCACTCACTGATGCTGTACTTACCAGGTGTTATAGCCTTTGGTAGACGATTAGGTCATGAGAATGGAGCCTTGTTAAACAGGCCCCGCTTTACATATTATTTACATTGTAAGAGATTTTAAGTAATATGGAGGAACGTAGGAGAATGTAGGGTATACGTAAACACTAAGCCATCTTTTCTAAGAGATCTGAGCACCTATGGATCTTAGCATCCTCGAGAGTCTTGCAGCCAGTCATTTGCACACACGGGGTGCAGAGGAACACAGCTGTATGTATGTACCTAGACTACAGTAGATACCCAGCTTGCCCTGGCCTCTGGCACACTCTGAAGGCCTCTTCCATCATTCCTTTCTCCATGAAAAGTCTCTTGAGACTCATCAATGTATTTAAAGTATAAACAAAATTTCATACACACAACTTAATAATTACAGCTACTGTTTTTCATTGTTTGCACAATATACTTAGCATTAGGTTTGTAAAAATTATGTTAAACATTTAATCAGTCAACACAGTCCTATGATAACATCTGCAGTTAACCAACATAATTTTCTTAGCACTTTCCTGGCCCTAGTTATGCCTGATAGTCTTTTTATGTTAACCCTTAATATTCAAGGACAGCTTGTAGGACTATGTGGTCAAACTACTCATATTTTAACTCAAATCATCTAGAATAAATAGCACTTCCTTTTTAATAAGCACATTAGAATTTCATCCTGTGTGTCAGACACTAGCACCAGCTGTCTGTTCCTTACTTTTTGACTTGTTTCATGTTACATGAGCTGAGGATTAGAGGGAAGTACAAAATAGGGTTTGTGATAGAAATGGAAATGTTGCTGATGTAAACTCTGCTTAAAACATTTTATCCTCTTAAAGGATTTTCAAATTGGAAAGACCTTACTGTCCACTCCAACTCTTTTTTATGCTAAATTGTTTTGTAGATTCAAACAAACTAATGAAGTGCCATCCAGGCCATTGACCAACATTCTAATTCTTCTAATGGCGAGAAATGGTTGATTGCCATTGCTGCCTTGGAGTTAGCTGAACCATAAGATGTTCTTTCACCAGCACACTGTGAGTAGAAATAAATATGTATCACTTCTGGGCAAAGTTTTAAGATCTAAGGCGTACTTTGCCAAATTCTGTTTTTCACTGGGTAAAATGGAGCCCACTTTGTCCTGATTCCTCATTCTATAGATGAGCAGTCTTCCTACCTGCATTGACATAGAGGATAAAGAAAGAGGCCCATTAACCTTTGACATTTCAGTTTGTTTGTTAGAAAAGCATTCTCTGGTAAGCACATCATCACTGGTGAAGCTTGGTAGATGGTGAACCAATATGTATATATAAAGAAGACATATGCTTATTCATGCACACTGAAAGTTGTTTACAGATGGGGCTATAGGTCTGGGAACCGACTCTAAAATCCCTACACTGCTGTTGACATATCAGTCTAGTGGTCACTAATTTTCCAATTCATTTACACATACGTGCCCTGAAATATATTTGATCTTTGTAGTCAGATTTTCCTTTGTGGGACTGCCAGCCCACAGATAATGACATGGAGACTTATTATTAATTAGAAAGTTGGTCTTAGCTTGGCCTTTTCCCCAACTAAGTTTTATAACTTAAATTGAACTGTTTCTATTAATTTACATTCTGCCACATGGCTTGGCTACCTCTTCTCTGTATCACATGTCTGACTCCTTCAGTGTCTCACTGGCATCCTCTCTTGCACCTAGGTTCATCTCAAGTTCCTCTCTCTGCCTGGAAGTCCCATCTATTCTCTTCTGCCTAGCTACTGACCATTTAACTCTCCATTAAACCAATCACAGCGACACATCTTCACACAGTATAAACAAATCATTTTCTATAGCTTTTGCAAAATATTTTGAACTAAAGCTTCACAAATTATAATGCTAAATACACAGCATAACTCAGTCTATGCAAGGGAATAGCAGACTGTTAGAGAAAGGTTAATTTGTTAGATTCAGAGACTCCAGGAGAGTGGAAAAGCTTCTATGAGGGTGTGTCTGAGTAGATTGTAAAAGGAAAATCTGACTGCAGGAAGGTTATTGAGTGTGTCTTTGAGGGGCACAAATTGTCCTGAGTCCTTCCTGTCGTGACTGCTATGAACTGACCAGCTTTGCTCCACTGGGCCCTCCTTCATATGATGGACTAACACCTGAAGCCATGAGCTAAACTAAAGCCTCCTTCCTCCAAGCCTTCCGTAGGCTATTGATCCCATCAGGGAGTGTTGGCTAATAGTATACCACATAGTCAGACTCTTGTGGGCTGCTGCTGATATTTGCTTTTTTTTTTTTTTTTTTTTTGGTTTTTATGAGACAGGGTTTCTCTGTATTGTTTCGGAGGCTATCGGTCCAGCCCGGCCTCGAACTCACAGAGATCCGCCTGCCTCTGCCTCCCAAGTGCTGGGATTAAAGGCGTGCGAATATTTGCTTTTTTGACCGTATATTTTCTAAAAATCAAAATTAGTCCATAATAAATCTTACTTTTGTTCAATGTCTGTTCCTTTTTTTTTATTTTAAATTGTATGTTCTATTCTGAAAACTACATAAGCACATAATAAATAGTTGTTATTTTCATTCTATCAGTGTCCCTCCTTTGGGGAATCTGCACTGTTTGTGTGATTTTGGATGTCCTGTGAACCAAGAAAATCTCTTTTCTCATCTCCCTCTTCCCTTCTCCATTTAATACATACAAAAATGAAACAAACTGGTATATATATATATACATACATATATACAATTAATATATTCTTAGAGAGCGGGAGAATATGCATGTTGGAGGCTGTGTGTGTGACAATGGCCATACAGTTCAATGTCCTTCTATTCTAAGTAGCCACATACCATTTTACCTATATCTCCTAGTTATTGTATGTACTTGTTATTTCTGTTTCCTTCGTCTGGTCACTTGGATTGCCCTAAACCTGGGGTCACTTTTCCTATCATTTTGGTTGTGTGCATTTCAGTCTACATCTCTTTTTATATAATAGCCGTTCCAGGAATAGTATCTCCTGTCTCATTTCCAATTCAATAAATACTTGCTGACCCATTACCATATGCCAAGCTGTATGCTAGGTGCTTGGAATTCAAATAAAATGATGAGGAATCTGAAGGCTCAAAAGGATCATGGATGAGGAGTCTGGGAGCTCAAAAAGATCATGAATAAGGGATCTGGAGGCCCACAGAAAGCAGGCTGAGGCTGCAACGGAAGCCCCCCAAAATGACTCTAGAGATTCTGTCTTCAAAACTGAAGCCCACCTGCTGACCCCCACCTCTGTGGGAATGCAGTATAATCATGACTGTTTATACTGCATCATAATGCCTCTTCCCCTGCACAGTACTAGGCCTTTCCTTCCCTTTGGAATTAGGGATAGCCATGGGTCTTGGTTTCACAAATAAGAGGTAAATGGAAGCAATATGCCACCTGCGTGCAAGAGCATTTATTGTTGAGTATGTAGTTTGTCATGGTGGTCAGTGGGGAGACTGTAATTTTGGTTATCTTGACAACTATGATGTGGAGTGAAGCTCCTCTCCCACAGTGGCCCAGGATAGATAACAATGTAAACATTAATAAGACTTTATTGTTTTAGGCCACTGAAATGTGGGACTATTTGTTACTTCAGTATACTTTAGTTTTCTTTTTGTTTTTTCTTTTTTTCCTCCACATTTCAGCATTTTACTTTTTAAAAAATCTCAAAAGTCAAATTTCAGACAACATAAACATTTGTATTCATTACTCATATTTTATGTATTAAATTTTCAGAGTTGATAATTTTAAGCAATGTATTATTTGATGGAATTATCATTAAGGAAAACTAGTATGAACTGTAGGTATTTTTAAAGTGTATTTTAATCAAAATATAATTATACTACTTCCCTTGTCCCTCCCTACAGTGCCTCTCATGCCTCTGCTCCGTTCTGTAACTGATATTCTCTTTTTCTTTGATTATTATTGCTGCACACACACATACACACAAATATACAGCCTGCTGAGTGTGTGTGTTTGTGTGTGTGTGTGTGTGTGTGTGTGTGTGTGTGTGTGGTTTCAGGACTTACCACTTTGTATTGAGTAACCAATGAGGGCACTCCTTCCTGGAAGAGGTTAATTCTCCCTGTCTCAGGCGCTATTAGTTGCCTGTAGTTATTTGTTTGGGGTGTGTCCTGTGAGATTGCGTCCTTCTGCGTTACCATGTCTATTGATAGTATCATTGTTCCTATGTTGTTGCAGCCATTTCTAGGAAAGACAGATTAGTAGCAGACTTCCTGGTATTCTACTCTTAGAATTTTTTTTCTGCCCCCTCTTCTATGATGTTCCCTGAACCACAAAAGCAGGATCTGTATTGTAGCTGTATCTATCCACTGTAGTCGGGTTCCCCACAATCCACTGATCTCTGTATGTTATGTTACAACTGAACAGGACCTCTGTATCATTCTGTGACAGCTTCCCTTGGCTGTAAACACAAACTTCTTTGAAGAGGGGTATTTAGTTTTATTGACAAATACATGGGGGCATCTCCCAAAACTGGTAGCAATTCCATTGGGCGTGGTTCAGACATCATGGTTAATTGTTATTGTCAGCTTGGTACAACCTAGAGTCACTTGTGAAGAGTGAAGAATTGAAGAATTACCTGTGGGCATTGTCTTGGTTGTTAAATGATGGAGGAGAGCCCAGCCTGCTGTGGGCTATACTATTCCTAGGGCAGGTGGTCTGGGGCTGGATTAAGGAAGTTAGCTGAGTGAGCTAGAGAGTGTTTCTCCGTGGTTTCTCCTTCAGGCTCCTGCTGGAGTTTCTGCCCTGATTTCCCTCAATGATGAGCTGTGAAATGGAAGTACAAGCCAAATAAACCATTTCCTCTCCTAATTGCTTTTGGTTGGAGTGTTCTATCACAGCAAAAGAGATCAGGCTCTCTAGTCTGGCTATGGATTTGTGACTCTGGGTGACTTGCAAGACTAAGCAATGATGACATTTAACTTGAACTAGCTATAATCAGAAGGAACTGTCTCCTGAAGCTCTGTGTATTTTATGCTTAAGAGAGGTACCTCCCTATGCCATGAATGTCTTTGAAATAATATATCCCAATAGAAGATATGTCTTGTCACAGGAGGTTTGTACGTGAAGAAAGGAAAAGGATCACCTGTGAGAATAAGGGTTAAGATTATCTGTGACAGTGGAGCCCCAGGAGATGCTGGGCACACTGACATGCCTCATGAGAATCTCTAATCTTGAAATGTGAGCACCCCACATAAACTTGCCTTCAGAATCATTTGCTGTAGCCATTTGCAGTGTATCTCAGTGGAAAAGGTGGTGTGAATGTAACAGGAAGTTAAGAAAATATAAGAGACATGTCTTAGTTATGGTTTCTATTGCTGTGAAGAGACACAGTGACCATGACAACTCTTATAAAGGAAAATATTTAATTGGTTGGCTTACAGTTCAGAGGTTCAGTCCATTATCATTATGGTGAGACATGGCAGTATGCAGGCAGATATAGTGCTGAAGGAGCTGAGAATTCTAGATTTTTGATCCATGCCTACCAGAATCCAGAACCATGTGCTCAAAGTGGTCAAATTCTACTTGTTACTGGAGCTGGAACATGCCCCTTTGTTCAATTACGTCTTCTCCAACTTTCTGTTTTAGATGGTTTCCTTCACTGCCTAAGCTTAATGGTCCAGAAATCGGATTTGTAGACCAGGCTGGCCTCAAAACTCAGATCTGCCAGCCTCTGCCTTCTGAGTGCTGGGATTAAAGGCACATACCACCACACCCAACTCTAAGATTTTCTTTAATTCCTTTTCACAAGTTGGAAACTTAGCTGGGTGGGGTCTTGCCCTGAAGTTACAGCCTCCATTATTTCATTTCTTAATCTGTCCATCTCCTTGAATACAGGATAGCTACATTCCATTTCCTTGTGCTCCTTTTCTCCTCAAAGTGTACACTTTGTATTTTTCCTATCTCAGCTTGCTCCTTTTCCTTATGCATCTGTATAAGAGTAACTAGTAATAACCACACATACAACAGAGTCAATACTATGTTGTTTAGAGATTTCCTCTGCTAATAGAATTATTTCAAATCTCTTCACTTTAGTCCCAGTCAGGTTCTTTGGATAAGGGCAAAAAACAGCCACATTCTTCACAAAATATCAATATCACAAGAATAATCTCTAGGGGGCTGGAGAGATGGCTTAGAGGTTAAGAGCACAGGCTGCTCATCCAGAGGTCCTGAGTTCAATTTCCAGCATCCACATGGTAGCTCATAACCATCTGTAATAAGATCTTGTGCTCTCTTCTTATGTGCAGGAATATATGCAGGCCAAACACTGTATACATAATAAATAAATAAATCTTTAAAAGAATGATCTCTAGATCACATGTTAATATTCTTTTCCTTTGAGACCTCTTGAGCTAGGCCTCCACAATCAGATAACTCTTAGAATCACTGTCTTCCATGTTCCTACTAGTACGGCCCATTAAGCTTTGCTTAAAGCATCCCACTACTTTCCTACCTCAAATATCCAAAGTCCATATTACTCCAAACAAAAACATGGTCCAGTCTATCATAGCAATACTCCAGTCTCTGGTACCAACTTCTGTCTTAGCTAGAGTTTCTATTGCTATGAAGAGATGCCTTGATCACAGCAACTCATCTAAGGGAAAATATTTAATTGGTTGGCTTATAATTCAGAGGTTCAGTGGTGGGACATGGCAGCATGCAGGCAGACATGGTGCTGAAGAAGGAGCTGAGGATTCTAGATTTTTGATCCTCAAGCAACAGAAAGTGGTCATGTCACTGGGCATGGCTTGAGCATATACGAGACCTCAAAGTCTACCCCCACAATGACACACTTGCTCCAACAAGGCCATACCTACTCTTAGAGCAATGCATCCTAAGAGTTCCCCTCCCTGTGACCTTACGGGGGCCAATTACATTCAAACTTCCACAATAAGATAGCATGATTATCATTGTCTTCATTTATTAATTTATAAGGTATTTAAATTTGCCTGTGTTGGTAAGGTTGATGAAAATACAGACTGATAAGTTAGCATGTCTCAAAAGTTCAAAAATATGTGTACCTACCTATGTGTAGAACAGATGAAGTCCTGGGTGAATGTATGTTGTTGACTTGGACACAACAATGCCAAGGATTCTAATGCCTCAGGCTTATGGGAGTGGTAGATCCTTACCCTGGTGAGGCTCGGGAAAATAGGCAAAGCCTTTTCTTGGTCCAAGTATGAGTATTACAAACAACTGACAAGTGTGTGAAAAACAATTGTAGCTTCCTACTCCTAGATGACTACAACCTGACACTGCTTCCCTACAGAGACCTCCTGTCAAGACTAGCTAACCTCTCATCTTTGTGCTGTGCATAACAAACAAGTTGAATTCCCATATTATATAATACGTGTGCTCATCAGAGTGAGCACATCCCACTTGATCCCACCTTTTCTGTTTGTTTGTCTGTCATTTCTTCATTCTTGCATTACCTTGGTCAGGTTTCTATGACCAAACTGTATAGGATGATAGGATGAAGTATAGGTATTATGGCTTTCTTCCAAGGCACAATTTTAGACAAGATGCACAGAGTAAGTTCTGTTTTTGATGGTGTCCTTCACTGCTACTAGACAGATAAGTTCTATCCAATAGGACAATAATGGAAGTGATGTATTAAGGTCTGATAGCACAGTACATGGACACTTGCTTCCTCTATTCCCATTTATTCTATGGAAGAAATATGTGATGACTGGATGGAAGTAATACCTAGCATTGGCAGAGCCATGAAATTGGAGCAATGGTACTTGGTAATGTTGGGCAGAATCACAATACCAGCTCTGAGTTTATTTCATTCACTGGATATCTCAAGAGAAGCCTAAATATTCTCACTAATAAACCAGAATTCCCATTTTTTGGAGCCTTATCCTAGATTAGTGATTGTACCTTTCATGCAAAGATTTAAATAACAATGAAATTTCTGACAGGCATTTCTAGATATGTGAAAATTGGAAACAAAGTAGTATTTTGGTTAAAGTAGACTTTATACAATGTAATAATATGAAGATTATCAAAGTTACAAAACAAAACTATTGTTGTAGACAGATATTCAATGCTAAATAATGCATATAAGAAAACAATTTTCCATGCAATCTCAACTTTCCCCTCTCAAAAAAAAAAGAAAGAAAAGAAAAGAAACTTCAGAAGAGCATTCCAACTCCATCAAAGTTATGGAATATTATTATTATTCACTATTATAAAAAATGATCAATCATGCCACTAGAAGACATGAGGAAAATTTCAGTTATTAAGTGAAAGAGGCTAACCTGAAAATAATTTAATCATATGTACTGTAAGAGTCCAATTCAATGACATTCTGGAATAAGACAACTATTCCAGAGGATGTCGGGACAGTGATACTACTCTGCATGCTACAATAGGAGACACACATCACATATTTTGCCCAAAGTTATAAAAATGCACACTACCAAGAATGAATGAATTTAATGAGTAATAGGGATTATTTATGAAATTTCATCAGTTGTAACCAGTGCCCACTGGGGGTACATAGGTAAAAAACAAGATGTTGGAAATGAGGAAGCTTATGTATGTATGAAGCCAGGGTCTATGAATGACTAGTTGATACTGTGGCAAAATACTTGACCCAATTATCTTAAGGAATGGTTTATTTTTTCTCTCACAGTTTAGGTGGGGAAGGAATGGAGGCAGGAACATGATACAATTGGTCACGTGACATCTGTAGTCAGGAAGAAAGGAGAAATGAGTGCTGGTGGTCAGTTTGCTTCTTCTATTTTGTTTAGTCTGGAACCCAGCCACTGAAATGGTGGCTCCCCACTACTGATGGGTGTTCCTTCTCCAGATAAACCTCACCCAAGTGTCCTCTAAGGCACATCTAGAAGTTTGTCTCTTAGGTGCTTCTAAACTCAATTGGCTGACAACTAAGATGAGTTACAAGGGGCTGTTAAACTCTCTTTTCACTCAATTTTACTATTATGAAGAACTAATCTTTAAAAAATAAGTCTTTTCTCTCAAATGTTTTTTGATGCCAGGAGGTGGGAGGTAGTGGCACATGCCTTTAATCCTAGCACTTTGGAGGTAGAGGCAGGTGGATCCCTGAGTTAGAAGCCAGTATGATCTACAAAGTGAGTTCCAGGACAGCCAGGGCTGTTACACAGAGAAACCCTTTCTCAAAAAAGTCTAAAAGTCTTGGTACACACATATATTCTCTCTCTCTTTCTGTCTCTCTCTCTCTGTCTCTGTCTCTCTCTCTCTCTCTGTGTGTGTGTGTGTGTGTGTGTGTGTGTGTGTGTGTGTGTGCACATATACTTGAAGGAGCCAGAAAAGGGCATTGCATCCCTGGATCTGGAGTTAAAGAGGAGTTGTAAGCTGGATGCTAGGATGCTAGGAATAATACTCAGGTCCTTTGTATGCTTTACTGCTGACCCATCACTCTAGCCCCGACTCTTCTTTTAAAGGCCCAAACACTTTAGTGAGTATATTTTGTGCTAACAAAAATAGAGATGTAAACTCACCCAATCTCTACCCCTAGTGCAAAGAGACCACATGTGATGATTTCCTGCCCATCTGTCTCCAGTGCATAGCACATTTCCTTATCAGCTACAAGTAACTGCTAGCTTCACCTCTACCCATAGCCAGTTAGACTCTGGCCAGGTGATGTTTCCCAAAGCTACCCATCCAATGAAGAAGAAGATGAGGGAAACTGGAAATGGTTTACTGTCTGATTTCTGGGGAAGAAAGAGTCACAGACATCCCATGGACACTAATCACAATCCCTTCCTCTCCTTAATCAAATTCCCATCATCTGTGATCTATCCACCCAACAAACATTATGCTCCATTTTAGGTCGAAAACACCATCAGATGACTGGATCCTTTGTTATATGTACAATGAGAATGCACTCTGCTTCTGCAATCCTGATGTGTAATTGTGGCACATATGTGATGGAGGAAATATGACAGTTTCACAGAATGTTCTTCTTCTGGACATGGCCTCTGGTGAGCAACATGTGGAGTCCGAAGTTCCAGTAAGTTAAACATGGAAGGGAAATAGCAATAAGTGGCTGAGAAACTCTACTAATTTGATCATTTTTAGCTACCCAAGTGTCCTCGTTTGCTTTCTATTGTGAGAAGCACCCTGACCAAAACCAGCTTGTACAGGAAACAACTTACTTCATATTGCATCTTGCAGTCCATCATGATGAGAATTCAGGGCAGGAACCTGGAGACAGGAATTGAAGCAGAAAGCATGGAGGGATACTGCTTATTAGATTGCTCTCCATGGCCATCTCACCCTGCTTCCTTATACAACTCAAGAACACCTGGCCAGGTGTAACACTACCCACAATAAGCTGGGCCCTTTCACATCAATGACTAATCAAGAAAATACCCCCATATGCTTCCTTATAGGCCAACCTGATAGAGGTATTTTCTTAACTGTGATTCCCTATTCCCAGATGACTCTAGCTTGTGTCAAGTTGACAAAATGTAACTAGCCTATCAAGTCTTCTGGATCTACAGAAAGAAAAGAAGTAGTCATGGTCATTCTATGTACAGAAGATGCACTAGAGTGGGAGTCATTAATTTCTAGAGATGCCATAGCAAGCAATATCTGAGGTGTATCTCAGAGATTGAGCTTGAGCTCATCTTGTAGACACAATTGTAGCTTTGGGGTAGGTGGGAAGGCTGATGGGACAAGCCACAATTACTATGTGAGAAATGTTTAAGTTGATCACGCAGAGAAGGTGTACATATGTGGTGGTCAGAAGACAACTTGTGGAAGTTGATTCTCTTCTTCTACCATGTTAGGCCTGGATGATCAAACTCAGGTCATCAGGTATGACAGAAAACACCTTCATCCACTGATCCATCTAGCCTGCCCTGCAAGCCTGAGTCTAAAAACTATTCATTTTATAACTTGCTGTGTCTTGCACAGAGTAATAATTAATAAAACAATTATTGAACAAATAAGTGACAAGTCATCTTGTAGCGTCTTCTAGGTAGAAGAACTAGTGGTCTTGGATGCTTTGGGATCCAAGATAGCAAATTTAACAGAAGCACACAAAGAAAAAAAATCATCTCTCAATCAACTTGGTGGCTAAATTACCTGCTTATCTAAAGAACCCAAGGATCAAAGGGTCTAGAAATGCTTGGATAGTAACTCTCATACCTCCCTCCTTTTACATAGGAAGTTATCACCTTCACCCTAGTTCCTCATAACCACCTTGAAAGTTCAAGAGGGCATTTACATGTTAGACAAGGAACAAATTTGGCAATGTGACTTGTTCCAGCTAATCTGTGAAGGAGAAGCAAGATGATCATTTTCTAAATTAACCACACATATGGTTGAAGTCTGAGAATCTGTGTGATGTAATCAAAGCACTTACTGCCTGGCTGTAGACTGTTGTAATTGTGGGTGCAGTTTCTGAAAATAATCATGAAGTTTGAAATGACAAGTTTATACACATCCGTTGTAGATACAGGGCTTACGATACTCCCACCTACCCACCCACCCACACCTCCTCATTCATATACAGTTGGCTCTCCCTGTCTGTTCTGCTGCTGTGGATTTAGCCAAGCATAGATTGAAAATATTCAGAAAATTTTGCATCAGTATGGGACTCGTACAGATCATTTCTTGTCATTCTTTAAGCAATATAGTAAACTAAATATTTACATTTTTTGGACATTATAAATAATCTATTCATGACTTAACATATATGCAAGGACATGCATATATTATATGCAATGCTACAGAATTTTTACAAGGACTTGAGCATCTGTGTACTTTGTTGTCTCTGCAGGATCCTAGATCCAGCCCTCTGTGAATACCATGGGACAAGTGTGAATTCAAATGTATACACAGACTTGATACCAGGGCTGGCAGATCCTTATATTTCCTCAGTATCTTAGTTATAGTATATATATATATATATATATATATATATATATCACAAGCACACACACTAGTATCATTACCTTGAATTCACATTGAGAGGGTTATATCAAGTGGTATTCTAGAGAATAGTTATGTTTTCCTCAAATATAATTCTTTCAAGTTATGGGAGAGAGAAATATGTTTGAAAACCAAGTTGCATTGAAGTACCTACCCGCATTTTGAGGCAGGATTTATATATGTAGCCCAACCTAGCCTGGAACTCAAGATTCATCTGCTTCATGCTCCAACATGCCCAGATTACAGGAGTATGCCACCTCACCTGGCTCAATTTATTCTTAAAAGCCTGGTTCAGAGTCTTGGAAGTGGTCGGGACAAGGAAGAATCAGTCTGTCTTATGAAGCAGGAGCAAGAAGGGATTGCAGGGGATGTTAATGCAGTACCAATAGTCTTTCTAAGGTTCAAGGACACACTTGTGGACAAGAGATTCAAAATGTTGAAAGCTAGTGACTGAAAGTTTCAGGGCAAAATGGAGCTGAATTATTGGTGCTAGAAAACAAGTAATGGAATGGGAGGGGGATTCTGCACTGAAAGAAACACAAGTTACTCAAGAGCATCTTTAAAATTGTAATGGAGGTGTCAACAGTTGCCTAGGAAATTGCTGAGTTCATTCCCTGGCAGGAACAGAGAGTTGGATGATTTGTGAAGACTAAAGTGCAGAATAAAGAAAGTAACAACTTTGTGCATTTGGGGTAGGAAAAGATTACTGATGCAAGTCCACTCCATGGAAGTTGGTTGGTGTATTTCCGAGGGCCCCTGTGTCTTCCTTCTCTCCTACTGGTCTTGTTTAGCTATCTGCCTCCATGGCCTCTGGTTCTTGCATTGTCTTGCTGGAATAAGAAGCCATCATCCCAGGGAGCATCTCTTCACTTTCCCCACCTACCTTAGTTACTCAAAGCCTCCTTCCAAATGCCCCTCTCTTTGCCTGAGACAGAATCCCAAGAGTCTTCTTGTGCATTCTCCCACAGGTGCTCCAGAAGAGGAACAAGAACAATGGACACCAGAAGGACACAGGTGGGCTGATGATAAAGGAAATGACCAATAAGTCAGTATTCCTCACACTCTGCTTAAAAGATAAGCACTTTCAAGTTGATAGACTTAGTCGTTGCCTTTCCAAATATATAATTTAGATATCATTTCAACCCCATGGTATACTTCATGCCAAGGATAATAACTCGTTTTCATTTCTTCAAGATTTAGTGTATGGCATACATACCTAAGAATTGATGGAGATTGAAACCATGAGTCTTATTTGTCTGGTGTCTAACACAGACCACACAAGGCTTTGTACTGTCTAGTGGCTCGGGAAATGTTTTCTGTGAACAACTTTGTTAAGGCAGATAATTGGGACAAGTCCCTTGATTTAATTAAGTTCAATCAATGCATTGTAAAACTCCCAGGGAAATTCAGTTATAGGTCAAGCCATGGCACCCAGGACAATGTCTACAACAGCCAGGATCACTTTCTAGTTCTGTTGGCATTCAGGAGAATGACCCTTGTCCTCTTATGCCTACAGAAAGTATCTGACTCAAGCTGGGTATGGTGGTGCATGACTTTAATCCCAGAATTAGGAGGTAGAGGCAGGAGGGTCAAGGGTTAGATGCCATCTTTGGCCACACACAGAATTTGAGATCAGGTTGGGTTGAAGAAGCACTTGTCTCAAAAAACAAACAAACAAGAGTCTGCAGAGGTTGCTCAGCAGTCAATAGCCCTGATTTCTCCTTCAGAGAACCCAGATTCAATTCTCAGCACCCACATGGTGGCACACAACAGTCTGTAACTTCAGTTCCTGAGGATTTGACACCCATTTCTGGCTTTCACTAACCCATGCATGCACAGGAAGCGCAGATATCCATAAGGGTAAAATACTCATACACATAAAATAATAATAATAAACTAAAAAATAAAACTAACCAACAACATTAATTACACATTTAAAAAGGGACCCGGTTCAATTGTAAGAGAGAGTGTGAGGTTGGGCTTGAAATGCATTCCTAAAAATCCTACATATCTTTGGTAGCTTTTCAGGAGTAACATTCAGAGAGAATTCTTCTTTTTTTTCCCCTGGGGTTTTTCAGCAAACCAGATTTTTTTGATATGACACCTAATATAACCACAAGTACCTGAAAGTCAGACATACCGTGTGCAGAACGGTCTTTATGCCTCTGACTGATGCTTATTATGATGTTGTATGACAACATGGATAAGGGTAGGTGAACCCTGAACTTGCTGGCAGTGATAAATTGCTTTTAGTTTCCTGATGGCCCTGGAGAGCTGGCAGTCTCAGACTCCCGGCTTCTTCCTTATTTAGTTATCATGCTCCCTGACACTTGAATATTAGGTCAAAGTTTTAAAAATCTACTTAGTGAGAACTACCTGTTAGGGTTGGAGAACTCAGAAGATGATCGATCAATCTGTCATCCCTTCCTTGGTGCTGTTTATCATGGCTTCAACTCTCACCTGTGAACGTGAACTCACTATCTTCATCTTCAGCCTGGAATATTTGTCTGAGGTCAATCCTAGTCAATAATTCATTTAAAGTCTGTGTCTCCTCTGTACTAGGTATTTATTGATGCCAGAGCTGAAATAAGATGTGGTTGCATCTCAAAGAGTCTGCCAGATAATATGTATGCTTATGAGGTAGGATTATGAGTTCAAGATACATACATACCCAGAAGATTCCAGAAACACTAAACTTGGGGTGAGGTGGATGGAGCTTCCTGAAGGAGATGACCTTTATTAAGGGTCATTTCCACATACCTAAAACTCAACATGTCAGATCAAGTATTTATGACTCTCTTTCCTACCCCCCCATACTTCCTAATTTTTCTTTTCATTATACACCACTCAGCCATTAAATTCCAGCCAGTTCTTTCAGTAAATTTCAGCCCTGTCTATAACAATGTCTGGAAATTCTGTTTTCTGCCTTTAGCTACCACAGTTCTAAGTGTCTAAGACAGTCAGAGTTCAAAAAACTGAAAATGAAACAACCAAACCAACTAAAGCCACCTATCTGTCCACACCCATATGCCACTGATACACCCTGGCAGCAGCCTCTTGGCTGGTCTTGCTGGCGCCAGGCCTGATTGCCATGGTCTATCTGAGATGTTGTTGCATTTATTTGCCTGGAGTCAAGTGGCTTTATGAGGAAGAAAGTGGGAGGAGGGAAACGCCTACATGCGCCTGTGAAACCTGTATGCAATAAATACGAGTGGGCAGAACAAGAATAAGGACAGGAGGACAGGGACTATCTACAGATTGGCCAGCCCCGCCAGCCAAAAGCTATAAAGATAACAACAAGAGACGAGATGCCAAGGTGTGGAGCTGGGCACTGGCATTTTTATCCTGTGGCTGTTGCAACAAATTACCCCAAACTTGGTGGCTTAAGGCAGTAGAAATCGATTTTCTTATAGGTGTTAAGGTCAGGAGTCCAAAGTCATTATCACTGGGTTGACATAGAAGCAGCGACAAGACCATCACACTCTGCTCTGTTTGGAAGTTTCTGGTGCCTCCTAACCTGTGTCTGCATAGTTCCCATCTCTGCCTTGGTGGTCACACTGCCACACTCATTTTTGTTTGGTTGGCATCCTACTGTTTCTTAGGAGGCACTCAGATTGTCCACGTAAGCCCGCCTTATCGAGAGAGTTATGACTTAATGCAGTCTTGTCTGCAAATCCCTATGTCTCATTAAGTTACGTTTACAAGTCCTGAAGATGTGCAATCCTTTAAAGGGGTGTGATTAGCCTACTACCATAATAAAGTCAATTTTAGATCATCACCCAGGCATGTAAATTTGATCTCATGCTTGCTTTAGAACAGTTGTAGGGATTCAAAGATGTAAATGAGACATAATACATGTCTTTGCAAAGGCCCAGGGGCATCTGTGAGGTTACAGGAATGGAGTAGGACCTAAACCACTGTCCTGGAAACAGCCATGTGGTATTTTATTGTAGTAGGAGACCATGATGGCTATATAATTTAGGGGGAACCAGCTAACAGGGGTGCTTGGGCAGTGAAGGACTCCTTTAAGCTGCTGTTCCTCCAAAAGTAAAAAGACACCTTGGAAGCTGTATTTGCTACTTTTCTGTGATAAAACACCATGACCCAGGCAACTTACAAATGGGAAGATTCCTTTGGGCTTATGGTTCCAGAGGGATAAAAGTCCACCTCGGTGGGAAAGCATGAGAGCACCAGGCAGGCATGGCAGCTGGAGCCCGGCTTAGAGCTCACATCTTAAATCACAAGCACAAAGCAGGGAGAACAAACAGGAAATAGTCTTGAAACTCTCAAAGCATGCCTCCAACAAGACCACATCTCTTAAACCCCCCAAACAGCACCACTGGGGACTGAGGATTCAAATGCCTGAGACTATAGAGGACGTTCCTTACTCAAACTACAGCATTTAGTCAGATTGTAGGATGTAGAATGTGCACTTATTTGAAATAGAATTTGGTGACAGATTACAAGTAGAAAGTAGGAAAAAGAGGAGTCAAGGATGACTCCAAGGTTAGGATTTTGGTCAACTTGACACAAGCTAGCGTCATCTGGGAAGAAGGAACTTTGATTGAGAAAATGTCTCCTGTCTACAGCCATACCACCCACCCTGAAAGCACCCAACTCATCTGATCTTGGAGAAAATGTCTCCTTTATTTTCTTAATTATTCTTTCTTGTGGGAGGGTCAAATCCGCTGTAGGCCATGCTGTCGCTGAGCAGGTAGACCTGGCTTGCATAAAAAAATTAGGCTGAACAAGCCATGGGGAGTAAGTCAGTAAGAAACATTTCTCCACAGTCTGCTTCAGTTCCTGCCTCGAATTCTTGATCTGACTTCCCATCATGATAGATTATAATGAAGATGTGTAAACCAAATAAACCCTTTCCTTCCCAATTGATTTTTGTCATTTTTTAAAATGAAAATGTTTTTATTCATTATGTGCATTGCTGTTTTCCTGCATATATGTCTATGCGAAGGTTACAGATCCCATGGAACTGGAGTCACAGACAATTGTGAGCTGCCAAGTGGATGCTGGGAATTGAACCCGGGTCCTTTGGAAAAGCAGTCAGTGCTCTTAACTGCTGAGCCATCTCTCCAGCCCCTGTCATGGTGTTTTATAAAAGCAATAGAAGCCTAACAAAGACAGATGATTCCGAGATTTTTGTATTTTTACTTAACTAGGTAAATTATGGAGTTTCATTATACAGGAGCGTAGTCATAGAATGTTAGATCTATCAAACATCTAAATGGAGATTCTGGAGAGAGGGAGAGAGGGAGGGGAGGAAGTAGTAAGGAAGGGAGGGACAGAGATACACACACAGAGAGAGAAGGAGAGAGGGAGAGAGGGAGGGGAGGAAGTAGTAAGGAAGGGAGGGACAGAGATACACACACAGAGAGGGAAGGAGAGAGGGAGAGAGGGAGGGAAGGAGAAGAGGGGAAGCAGGGAGAGAGACGGGTGTTTAAGAAAGAGGCTCTGTGTAGGAACAACCTGGTGGGGGATGAGGCACCACCAATGCACAGATTGTACTTTAGCCATTGGAATGAAGGGATAATGAATGAAAGAAAGGTAAGATCTGGAGACAGGCTGCACAACAATATTCAAAGATCAAAGGCCATTGAGATGGCTCAGTAGGTAAAAGCACTTGTTGCCAAGCCTGAGGACCTGAGTTCAGTCCTTGTAACCCATGGTAAAAACAGAGAGCTGACTCCTGAAAGCTACCCTTTGACCTCCACATATTCACCAAGGCACATATACACCCCCACACATCATATACACACCCAATAAACACACACACACACACACACACACACACACACACGCACGCACGCACGCACGCACACACACACACACACACACACACACGCATACGCACATGTGATCAGGACGCACTCATGGAGCTGGATAGGCACACAGTGAAAGGGTAACTGAGGCAGAGGGACATGAAGAGGTCTAGCTTTTCTGAAGGACTGGCGTGGCAGCTGCTCCCAAAGCTGCTAGAGAACAGAGCCAGGAGTCTCTTTTGTTGGCTCTTCCAAGCTGGGCAGGAGTAGATGCTACATGAATATTTGTTGTAAAGAAAGGAGGTGGTGTTTGTATCTCCATTTGCCTGGCAAAGAGGTAACTTTGGAGC